TTGTGCAGAGTTGCCCAATAAGACTGCACACTAATGTGCTATGATCTACTCTTCTATAGAAAACAAAAGAATTACTACACTTTGAAAGCTGACATGGGGAAAGAAGGGAAAAAAAGGAAATGTTTATACCTCCTCATTTGGACATGGCTCCTTTAGAAATATGATACTAAATATCTTCCTGCATCTGGAGGAGGAAAGAAAGAGACTATACAGGCATTCTGTACATAATGTTGAAATAAAACCCGCTATTGTCCACCAAGACAATAGAACCAGTCTATAATAATGTAGTACAAGTAGAGCATAAACTACACAGGTCAGCAATGCAATCTTTGTTCCAGTGTAATCTTCCATATCAACTATTGGACAATCCCCAGAGGTAAGACAAAGGCCTTTCTCATATTTCCCATAACATGCCACCACCTCTCTCTCTCTCCTTGCTGTGTAGGAAGCAGTGTAATACAGTTCACCTTTGGGATGGCTAAACATGTTTGACAGCATTGGAACTGTCTTAATCTTGGCCCAAGTCTCAAACTAAGCCCAAACTGTTTGTGCGGATAAACAAAATGAATTAACTTCATTATCTGTTTCAACGTCTGCAGGAGGTGTTTATTTTGGTGGGGAGAGAAGTAGAAATACTGAGAAGGAAGATGCGGGGTGCTCACAGTCAAAGCACTATTTGAGAAGATATTTTAGCTTCTATCTAGAAAGAGAGCATCTTTTTATGGGAGTAGGAGGTGAAGACAATACTTACTGTAACAAGCACACTATCCAAGCACATCAAGACGAAGGCAGAAGCACTCACTGAGCACACTGACACCCACATGGAACCGAGGGTTTACTAACAGATTCATCACAGCCCGACACTCTGCGAGGTGCAGGGTGGCTACTGCAGTGATGGCCAAGACCAGCATGCTGCCGTCTACATGGAGCTTACATTCACAGTGGGCACTGTGCCCAAAAGCACGGATGAGCATCAGATAAATATCTCAACTCCTGGCATTTTTCCTGAGCCCAGTCCAATGTAAGCCTCTAGAATTGCTTGTGTTTGTCCATAATTAGTCTTGCTGAAACCTATGACTTCAGGTTATATTCCAAAGTCAAAAATGATTACTGCACAAACATGTCAGGCCTTTTGCAACCATAAAATTAACCTTTTATTTAAGAGAAAATTCAATCTGTTAAAAAATATTTCATGAATGAGAGAAATTAGTATAAAGACAAAGACCATTAAGAACAGTAAAAGCAATCAAAACAGGGCAATTGTGTATTAAAAAAAGAAATTAACGGCTCTGGAAGAAAAATATAGAGAGATCAGGGAAGGCCTCATAGCAGAAACTTGAATGATTTGCAGGATATGCTAGGTAGATACCTAGGAATAATGGCTCTAGACCAGGGGTGGGCAAACTTTTTGACTCGAGGGCCACAATGGGTTCTTAAATTGGACCGGAGGGCCGGAACAAAAGCATGGATGGAGTGTTTGTGTGAACTAATATAAATTCAAAGTAAACATCATTACATAAAAGGGTACAGTCTTTTTTTTTTTTAGTTTTATTCATTTCAAACGGGCCGGATCCGGCCCGCGGGCCGTAGTTTGCCCATGGCTGCCCTAGACAGAATAAACAGCAAATGCAAAGGCCCTGGAGCAGGCATGTGTCTAGTGTTTTTACCATGAGACCAATGTGCCTAAAACAGAATAAACCAGTGCAGAGTAAGAAGAGATGAGATCAGAGAGATAGAGAAGGGGTTGAGTAGACAGATCATGGATGGGTCCTTAGGCAACATTAAGGAGTTGGAATTTTATTTTGAATGAGATGGGTAATTTTTTCATAGTGGGAAATGAGCTGCAAAGACACCCATATTGTGAAAGTGATCTTGAACAAAGAGAAAATAGGTTTACAACAAGAAAGGTTAGGTTAGATGTGTAAAATAATGTTTGGATTTTAAGGCATTTAATCATTGGACAAGGTTATCAAAGAACAATAAATAGCATTCCCTGTTGATGTTTAGGAAAAACCTTATTTACTTGACATAAACTACCACTTAGAAAAAAAGGATCAATGTGTCCCCACCCCCCATTTCAACTAATCTATAGCCAGTCTGATTAATCATGCAATCAAATTGATTTAGTAATTAAGACTAGCAGGAAAATGGAAATATAATCAGGCCTCCAGTCTATTATTTTTCATCAGTAGGTACTTCCCAGGGGAAATACCCAGTTGTTTCTAGGATAGTAGTTCTGCTACATTTGGCTCACGAACAACTTCAGTAGAACGACACAACTATTCTAGAATGAAAAATTTTCTTTGAGATAATAGCACAGGGACTGACTAGATCACGAAGGCAACTTGGAACAGTGCCTGATTTCATAGTCTTTCAACCTGATATTTAAAAATATTAGCCCAATACTCTGGAATTGCAGAGAAATAAATTGTCTTTTATTAACTATTATGTACAAACCAGGTTCTTATCAATTATCTTACAGCACCCAATAAGAACATTCTGCTAAAAATTTGGCAAAGCTTTTCTTATTCTTCTGTTTTTATTTGTTTTTTTACTACTTCCTTCTGCGCTTTTTCAAAGCCTCAATTTGCTGATGTCATAGTAAAGTATTTAAAATTTAGATAATAAAATAAAGCATTTCTATAATGAGGACTGTGCTGAACACTTTTCATTGTCAGAATTCAGTGTTCTATGAGCATGGCTTTCAGCTGATGGCCGTCATGCCATTTTCCAAAAATACTCAGTGGGAAGAGGCTTGTCTTAGTAAGGAATGCTTTCTTTCTTTCTCTCAAGGGCACTGGGAATGGGATGAATGCACATCGATTCCTGTGAAAATAGATTAGTGACAATTAGTTGCCTAGTTGACTGGCACCACCCTTAATGTGGCCGTGTGGGAACACGAACATGTTGTAAACAATAATGCTACATAGGATGACCCCAAGGCCACGGAAGGGGGTTTCCGGGCCAGCTGAGACCTCGGGCTGGGAGGCCAGGGTGGAGAAGTGTGGGGGTTCCGCCTCAGACTCCAAGTTTACTCTCATCCGGGCGCTGAGACCATGTGTCGTTCTCTCCCCATTCCTGTGAATCATTGCTTGAGAGGTTTATCTTATCCCTTGCAGAGTTCAGCGTCCGCAGAAGTGTAGGATTAATACTTGTTTGTTGCTTTTGGTTTCTGTTTGTTTTAAGCATTGATTGATGGATGTTCTAGCTGCTTTTAGAAACTGGATTAAGGAATTAGATCGCATTAGTTTATGCCAACCAAGGCTTTAGAAAAGTAACACGTCTACAGTGTCTAGAATGGTCACCCTTTTCCCTGGACCCAGGCAGAAGAGCCACATGGGCCTAGCTGTTTTGGCTCAGTGGATAGAGCGTCAGCCTGGGGACTCAAGGGTCCCAAGTTTGATTCCAGTAAAGGGCACATGCCCGGGTTTTGGGCTCAATCCCCAGTGGGGGACATGCAGGAGTCAGCCAATCAATGATTCTCTTTCATCACTGATGTTTCTATGTCTCTCTCCTTCTCCCTTCATATCTGAAATCAATAAAAATATATTAAAAAAAAAAAAAGCCACACAGCCCTGACCACTCTTCTCTTCCCCTCCCTCCTGAGGCTCCTCTGACAGCATGCTTGGTAAACTTAAATCTGGAGAGTAGGGCCATTAGCATACATTTCTGTTAATAACACACCAATGTTCCATATTTGCAAGGTGCGAAGTCAGTCCTGGAAAGGGACAATGAAGATGCCTCTACTCCACCTCCAGGAATTGCTTAGATCCCTAAGCTAGATGAGACAAGGAACAAATAAAAATCCAGCGTTGCCATGAAAGAGATCTGGGATGCTTGTGTATTCTAAGGGGTCCATTTCCTGTTCTAAGCAGCTATTCTTTCTGTCTCAGCTCCTCCACATATATGCTTCCCTACCTTCCCCTCCATGGACCTGCCATCACACACTCAGTGCACACATTCAGCATGGAATGCAATTTTCACTACTCATGCATCTTATCTTAGGTGTCTGAGAAGTTCTGAATGTGATCAGGCATGCTATTGGTCTTTGCAGCATGAAGACAAAAAAAAAACAAAACACCAGTGGACGGATCAGTGATAATTGGACCTAGAGAGAATAACAGGCATTCTGTGGCAGCGGAGCTAGAATATCCGACTTGTAGAAAAGATCAAAAAGGGATAGAGAGAGGATGGCGTGCATCTCCAGCTGAGACACACTGCATAGAGGATCGTCCTCACAGGTAGCTGAAAATAGAGGTGCTGGGGTCTCATGTGAGACTTGTGTGTGGAAAGCACCCCTTTCCTGGTTCACCTTCAGGGAAGCCTTGAGCTGGTAAGAGCACTTGTCTCAGAGCACCCTCTGCAACCCTCTAGCTGCTCAACCTCAAAGGGAAGTAAGGGAGCTCCCCAGGACTGCCTTCAATGTCTTTTCAAGGTCATGGCCCTCGGCTGCCTTTGCCCATCACTACTTCTGGAAGAGCCATGTTTTCCCCAAACACTATTTCCCCAACTCAATTTCTGACCACATTGTGTGGTAGACATGGAGGGTGGAATGGAATGCAGGAAGGAGAGAAAGAAAAGGAGCCCCTCAGATTGTTTTTCTGAAATCATCTCACCTGACAGCTTTACCCTGACATTTCCAATGGGAGCATCTAGAGGTCCGGGTTTGGAGAGTGGAGGTGCATGGGAGCTCCGAGCAGAATCCCCCCACATGCTCCTGAGGAGCTCCTGAGCTTTGTAATGAGGCGGGTGGGATGGGCACCTTTGAAAAGCACATTTCTTGTCAGTACAGGCTTCCTTATACTGAGTGCCTATCATGAGTTATTTAAATTATTTGGCCTGATATTTCTATGGCATAGATATTATTGTCTTCATTTTACGTGCTAGGAAACTGGGATGTAGAGGCTTAAATAACCATCCAAGGTTGCAGAGTTAGGAAATGAAAAGACCAGCATTTTAACCAAGAGCTCTTGGTTCACAATTCACGTCTTTTCCAGTACATGAACTGCGTCTCGGTTCACACGTCTGGAGGAAATAGTAGAATAATTCAACAATCCAGTGATTCCAAGCTTCGAGGCACAGAAAGGAATCTTCCCACAGTACGCACAGTGTGGATGCTGTGGCCACAGGTAGGTCCACTGTCGTGAAAAGAGGGTATTGATTCCTTCCCTGTTCCCCTCCCCCCTCAGAAAAGATGCTCTAAGCCGGTCCTTTCCACCCAGCTCCTCCACTGGGAGGAAATGGTGTCGGTGAGCTTCCTGTAGTGATACATACATAGTAAACCAGAACCTGAGTGAGGCTGGCTGATGAGCAACTCCTCTGCCACTCAGCACTTTACTCGCTACGTAAGTGCAGAAGTACAGACCCATCCCCACATATCATGGCACCAGGGAGAGAGAACTCAAACTGCACCTGGAATCCCACCTTCCTGAGACAGGCACCTGGGAAGCCAATGAGCCCAGCACATTCTCAGTGCCACAGCCAAGACTGCCCATGGGGACAGTAGCCATCCTTTCCTAAGCAGATGAAACCTGAGCCTCTTATTTCAGGATACCAATCACCAAGCAGACAGGCTCTTTTATGCTAACATCTGTATGAGGGTGACTTCCCTCAGCAGCCTCCTTCCCGCCTGCCTGTTCTCACTGAAATACCTGCAATATCTCAGGGCCACCTTAACCCTGAAGGGGCCCAGACTGTCCCTGGACCTGTGCCACCTTGCATGGAGCCTTGGGCTCAGGGACTTTTATTTTCTCTCAGGGCCAAGCCACCCCCTGGATGTGCAGTGTCCATGAGCCACCTTGGCAGCTGCAGAGGCCCTTTCAGTGGTCTCCATAGCATTGGCCTGGACTCCAGGGTTTCCCCGCAGGGGCCTGGTTAATCCACTGGGAGGACAGACTTCCTGGGAAGACTCTGGGTTTGCTCTGAGTTTCTTCCTCGCCTGAGATGGGCCAGTTCATGAAGCAGTTCACACACACCAATGCCAGATTTATAAAGTGTGAGTTGAATTCTGCCCTTGGCCTTCTCTGTTCAACTCCCACCACTTCCCTATTGTAGCTTCTTTGAAAGCGTAGCCACATTCCCCTTCTAAAGCCCTAGTAAATCCCACCAGATTGATGAATGGGGGGAAATGATGATTTCTTATGCATTTTTACATGAAGGCTCCAAACAGACCCTGTCCTCTGAGATCCTCCTTATAGTGTTCCTATGGGGCCAGAGTAGTTAAGCTCCAGGTTTTACAAGAGGAAAAGCAAAGACCACTCCTTTTCTTTCCCGCTGCCAACAGCCCTGAACAGACCAAAACAAGAAACCCAAAATGAAGTGATTTGAAAATGAAGTGATTTGAAAATGAAGTCACTGGCGCAGAGGCCTCTGTCTCTCAGCTCAACACTCTGATTTGCTTGATTACACTTCCTACAGCCCTTCCCTCAAATCTCATAGGCACGGACCCATTACCCCACCAGGATTTGGCTGGGGTGGCTGAAGGGACAATGAGAACATAGAGGAATCTGGTTAGGCTGCCAGAGTTAACAACCTCTTACGTGCAATAAAACCAGAGTGGATTTTTTGATGGACCACACTCTCATTGCATTTAAACAGCCTTGGAGAGCTTCCATGGCTTCTGATGTCAAATAAGAAAACATCCTGCAGGGAAGTGGGGCCGAGATGTATCCACCTCCAACACTCGGGGGCCCAGGGTCATTGTGCAAATGGAGGCCCACATGTCATGTGCTTAAATACTTAAAAGTTATAATTCAAACTTGAACTTTCTTAAATAAACATAAAATGTCTTCTATCCTCCATGACAAATGTAATTTTATGAATAATATAGAGGCCGGGTTCAAATTTAGAGTTCTCTGACTCCTTGGTGTTACATCTGGATGATGATGGCCAGGGAGAGCTGGCCTCTCACTCCCAAGTCCACTGTCCTTGGACTGAGGTCTGCCTCCTTCTCTTCACATCCTGGTTCAACCTGCACTGTGAGTGGCCTCTCAAACTCATGCAGGACACTCTACCCAACCTGTCCCAGTTTCACTTGGACATTTCCACCAATTGACACTTCCACCAATTGACACTTCCACCAACAGCTCCACCCACCACTGCACCCTTCCTTTGAGAGGTGTGCCCAGTGTGCACTCAGGTGGACAGACCCAGGAATGAGGACTCACACAGATTGGCTGATTGGAAACTGGCTGTTTGGGAAGGGAATTCCAGGGTCCTCAGAATTCAAAGCATGGTTGTGAGAATATCACATTGTCTCTTTTTCACATGAAAAGAGGCGCTGTTGAAAGACGACAAAGCTGGACCTTGTAAGATGAAGAACCATTTTGCTTGGATTTATGGACAGTATGCATATAATAGGTCCTTTACAAGAGGATGTTTCACTTAGAAAGTGGATACTGGCTACTGTGTCTGCAGACAGAGGTACAACAGGGCAAGGTTCTCCTTGCTTCATATGCTAAATGAGGACAGATGTCTAGCTGTCATGGTTCTCAGTTCAATAGTGACATCGCTTGGGAACGATGTCTCATGACTGCATTCTTAGGGATTCTGATTTAATTGGTTTAGGGTGAGGTCCAGGCACAAGTATTTTTTTAAAAGCTCCCCAGGTGATTCTGTGTGCAGCCAAGATTGAGAACCAGGAGTCCAGCATAATGATTTTGCTTTTCATACCCCAGGGCATTAGCCCTTGTACCTACACCAAATAACTTAGAACCACTGTGGCCCAGGGGATATTCATCTCTAGAATAATGAGGACCCTGTGCTGTAGCTAACAAGCAGCTCTGTGCCTGGAGCAGTGAGTAAGATTGGTCTAAATAGGTTCTGCCAGAGGTAGGCGGAATCTCAACTGGCATCTCCATTGTGCTCCACGTGGGTTGAAGTTCAAAATATATAAAATTAAATGGCCACCACAGCAACCAATCAAAACAGGCTCCAGCTGTAGAATACTAGTTGGCCTTATCATTGTCTGACAGGGTAATTTAGTTATCCCTCCATGAAATCTCTTAGGGCCAACATTACTATGTACTTGCACCATGCAAGTATATGATACTTCAAAAGCACAAGATCACAAGATAGAACAGGATCTTTCACGGCCATCTAGTCTACCTCTGTTTCTGGGAAAGTCTGCATTTAAGTCATCCCAGAGACAAAACTCCCCCACTTGGAATAGAATTTCTTTTTCTGCACAGCAGGGAGGCCTTCTATTCAAAGCCTATACAGGTCAAGGCCATCTTTGTGGCAAAGTTATTTATTTCAAGTCTCTCTCCTCAGCAGGGCAGATTTAGGTTCGGGGAAATGGAATTTAATACAATTTGCAGAATTATCTTTATGATAATGGCTACAAAATTAGATACAAAAGTGAATATTTGTTCAGAATGAGAAAATAATAAAGTACTGGAGCCTTTGAGATTTAGGTCTCTTTCCTCTAAGATCTCTTTTGGTGAATTTCCTGGCCTGCTTGCATTGAATGCTTCCAGTTTGTAGTCTGGTTTTCCCAGCACACCTTGAACATGGCAAAGCCCAGTGGGCCTTTACATTACACCCTCTGGGCCTCGTACATTGGCCTCTGCTCTTCTACATATATTCATGGGTACTATTTTTTTCTCTATTTATGTGCCTCATCATTCTAAAAGGATTTGAAGTAGAGAATCTTGCTCTCTTTATACTCTGACAATATAGCACGTTGCTTTTGCGCACACTGCTCTTTTTCCTCACCTCCACTGTTTCTCACCTCCCACCTGCAACTGTGACCTGGCAAAATCCTACTTATTCCATAATACTTTTCTGGATTCTTCTAGACCAATGATTCTCAACTAGGAACAATTTTTCATCCCTGGGGACATTTGTTAATGTCTGGAGACTCTTTTGATCATCCCTACTAGAGTGAGAGTGGGAGTGGGATGGGGACATAGGGGGTGGTGTTACTAGCATCTAGGGTGCAGAGACAAGGGATGCTGTTAACCAGCCTACAACTAATAGTTACTGGAAACAAAATATCAATGGTGCTGAAGCTGAGAGACACTACCCTTGCTGGGGTTGAGTTCCCTTTCTCTGTGCTTCCAGAAACCTATACAAAGATTCTGCATTTCCATTCAATATGCTTATTATCACCTGCACATGTGCTTATTTCCTCCATGGATGGTGAGTCCTGCCAAGGATGCTTTTGTGCTTTAGTCGCCTTAAAATTCCCAGAATCTATCATTGCTTGGCACACAGTAGATGGTCCTTGAAATGATAGACCACTTCTACTTGTATTTGAGTTGTATAATTTAGCAAGTTTACCATATATTGCTTTGTTTTAAGATATTTCCCATGCATAAATCTTGTCTCTTCAGCAAGACAGTAAGCTTGTTAGATGGGAAAGATCATGTCTTAATACTTTTTCTGTATTTCTCCACACACTTTGCAGTGCTAAGCTGCCCAATAATTATTTCTGGATTGGCTATCTTCCAATTCTTTCAAATCTCTATAGAGGCTAAAGTGATAGATTGATCATGATAACGTAGCTATAATAAGGGAAGGTTCCTCATGCAAATGTATTAAAAACTGACTTTTGAAGAAGGAAAGAGGTGTATTTGATTCCTAAGGAGGGATTCCATAAGGGGTTCCCTCCTTAGGAATCAAAATTAGAAATATGTGTTTAAAGACATTTTTTAAATTTTTAAGAGAAATGTGAATTTATAATGCATCTCTTTAGTGAACTATAATCCACTGAGTATAGGAACATTTTTAGGTTGGTTGAATGAGCTATCTTTGGCAAGACTTTCAAAACCAATGTTGTAATTTTAAAAGTAATTAGAATATTGTGATACCTGGTTACCATTGGGAACTCTTGCAAATGTTTCAATATATATAGCAAAACAACAACAACAATGGATGACAAGTGACTAAGGTGAATCAAAATTGCAGAAACTCCTTAAGCCTTTGACAACTCTCCAAATAATGATGCTACATAGAATGGTGGCTCTTCCTGTCCGCACAGGCCTTATTATGTGTGACAAAATGGCTTACATACAGACTCACACATGAGATATTTTAGATTTTCACATCCATGCTTTCCATTCATTTCTGTTTGTGTGGTGACTAGGAGGGTGATGAACTGCCATAAAGTGGGAAATGAGCTCCTCTTACATAACATCTTTCTCCCAGATGCTTGATAGGTGAAAACCACAGTAACATGGAGGCTGCAAAGAAGTCCTGATAGTTTTAAAAATCACACAGGCACTTAAACATCTGTTTCAAGACCTGTGGAATGGTAACAAGCAGGCAGGAGACAAGCATGGCGTTTTACAGATACCTTCTGCCAATCTTAGTTAAGCCAAATTCTGCATCTTCTCTGCTATTCCGGCGGGGTTTGTAGAATATCACAATCCAGGGATGTCAGAAGGCAGTAGGGGAGGAAGTATCCAAAGCTCCAGGCTTCCTTTATTTAGACACAGGCTAACTCACTGACTTATTACTTTTTTATTGATTGTTCTGGTGGACAAAAACCAATTTTATTTCTCAGTTCACCCTCCAGGCTGTGTGTTGAGTAGTTATTATGTGTTATGTCTATCATTTGATAGCTTGGATGCCTCTAATTTTTTCTCTCCCAGTGCATGAAGCACAGCGTGAATCACATGGTATGAACTAAGTAAATATGTCTTAATTGATTTTTATTTTTAAAGTGCTTTACTCAGTAAAATTGGGCCTCCACTATGTCTCCCCATCAACTGGTCTATTATAACTTTTACAGGACTTCACATTGCATAGTGCTAGATAAATTTCTATTGAAGGAAATTTTCCTATTATTCACTTTCATGGTAATGAACACTCCTCTACTACCTTCATTAGTTTAGATAATTAAGGAAGCTGGTTATTGGAAAGCCTATTTTAAATTGAGTTATACAGGGTGGGGCAAAAGTAGGTTTATAGTTGTGAGTATGCAAAATACAGAATTTATTAATTATTGTATTACTTTCTACATGAACAACTCTCTAGCTAGTGTGTTTCAGTGGTTGTGCATTGACTTATGAACCAGGAGGTCATAAGTCAATGCACAACCACTGGTTTAATTCCCAGTTAGGACACATGCCCAGGTGTAGGCTTCATCCCCAGTGTGGGGCATGCAGGAGACAGCAGATCAATGATTCTCTCTCATCATTGATGTTTCTCTCTCTCTTCCCCTCTTCCTTCCTCTCTGAAATCAATAAAGATATGTTAAACAAACAAACAACTGTAAACCTACTTTTGCGTCACCCTGTATTTCACTTCAACCACGGAGGAATAAAGGCCTGAGTGGACTATAGTTAGCTATTGCTTTTATCGATTCACAGGAAGCTTTCTCATCTCTTCTATGCACCTGCAGCACAGGAGTGGGCAGGACCAAGACTGGTCAAATAGTCCCCTGGCTATAAAGATACAGTTAAAATGTGGGTGCATGAGCTAAATAGGGCCAGAGAATCTTTCTCTGGTTTTGTTACATTGGAATCAAGAGAAATGAATAACTTCTTCCCATTGGGGTTACTGAACAGAGTGATCGGGAATCTGGAACTTCCTTCAGCCGTGTTCTTGGGCTACTGATGGGGAGTCTTCATTGTAATAGAGCATAAGGCAGTCCTTTCAAGGAAAGTAAGGCCAAGTATGAAGGAAGGAAGGAATAAGGAGGGAAGGGGTCAGATAAATATTAGATGTTTATTGATCCCCAGATTTAGTCATGCTTAAAGTCAGTGCCTCTCTTGGATTTTCTAGTAACAAAGAGTCAATAACTATCTTCCCCCCTTGTTTTCTTATTTGTTTGAATTGATTGTTTGCCACTGAAAGGAATCTAGTTTAAAATTATCTATGGACTATCCAGGTGGCTTAACCCAAACAATTCGGTCAGTTTTAGACAGAGTATACTTTACCAGAATTTCTTTTCCCTAAAAGAACTTTCCCAGTTGAATAAAAAGTCCTCAAATTGAGTAAGTGGCCAACTTTTGTTCCCAAGATTATTCTGAGTGTTAAATAAGCCAATCATAAAATGTTCTTATCATTTACTACCTGGCTCTAATTGTTTAACTGTCATCTTCATCTTCTTCATCCTAGGTGTTCACTAAAAGTTATTGAGTTGAAAAATTGCCTGGAAGCCAGAAAGTGGTAAGTCTATATGCTATGCAAGAATATTTTGCAGGTGCCAATTTGGGGTTTAGTCTATAAGACTATAGTATAGGGAAGAAAGTGTGCTCCATAAGATTTTTGTTATAAGAAGTCTCCTCTCTCTCTGTTAATATTCTCATAATCTTTCCAAGTCAGTTACTTAAGTATTTGGGGGGAGTTGGCAAGATTTATTTTTACCCAGGAAAACAATATATCACTTTGACTACATACAACAAAAGTAGACAAGAGGTAGCTTATTGATATAGGCTAAGACAAATCCCAAAAGCAAACACAATCCTACCCTTTTTCATGAGCTGTGGTCCAGATAACAAATAAGATCACTTAAATATATATATATATATATATATATATATATATATATATATATAGATATATAGATATATAGATATATAGATATATAGATATATATATATAGATAGATAGATAGATATAGATATAGATATAGATATAGCCAAGTCTGGACTAAAGCAAAAATTTTAAAGGAATTTTAAAGAAAACATGAGAATTGTTCATTAAAATTACTCCTAAATTAAGCAAAAGCTGTTGACATAGCACGTTGAGAAGCATGCATGTCTATCCTCTGACTCAGGAGGTAATTAAAATCAGTGCTGGTGAATAAATTAGTTGTAACAGGATAGGAGACTATAGTTACCATAATCTGGGGAAAGAGTTGGTGAAAAAGACAGAAATTGAGACAATTCTAAATCTAAAAATCAACATTTTTTTTTTTTTGCCCCAGAGGATGCAAGTTAAAAACATCTTTGTTTTTTCACCCACAATTTTATTTCTGTTCTCACACCCACCCTCCCCTTTACATGAATATTAAGGACTAAGGCTTTAGCAACAGGCTTTTGGTTGTGAGGGAGGTAGGGGTAAAGGGAAAAGCGTTGTGTATGGCTTTTCATATGTTAATAAGTTGATTCCATGACAACCATTGAAAAAGCAGAGCTGGAAACAAAAGCTGCAGCCAAAGAGAGGACAGTGCTCTTTCCCGGGTGCTGTAAGAATAACAGCCCGGGCTCCCCCCTCTGAAAGGTATCTGATGTCTGCTCCTCAAAGGGCTTTGTTTTAATGGTCCAGAGTCAGTATATAATTGATGCAGAGTTTTATGAGTCCAAATTTTACCCTCAATGATGCTTTCCTTTTAAAAGGTTGGGAATAAGAACCAAAACCAAAAGGCTGTGTCACTGCTTCCAGTCCTATCAGTTCCTATGATCCTGCACTTCAGTTTAAGCAAAAAGGTCAAGGGCCTTTATCTTTGTAAGAAAGTGGTTAGTGCTGGGCCATTGGAGGAGGCGGGGGTGGGGTGGGGGCCTGCAGTGGAAAAAGCTTGCTCTTCTCTCCAGGCAGCCTTTGAATGTGGTGCAGCATGTTATCCCAGTGACATGTTGAAACTATACAGGGTACAACACAGAAGCAGGCCCTGGGACACTGATGGCATTCCTCAGCTTCCTTGACCAATGAAAAGAAATCTCTGCTGGCTGTTTATCCTCCCAGAAACATGAAGTGACATTCTCATGCCAGATTTTCCAATGTCTAGTACAGCTAAGTTTTTACTTTAATTTCAGTAGTCACACATCTCAATTAGCTGTTGCATCATGCCAGCGCAATGCATTCCTATATCTAGCCAGTTCTAATACACAGTAAAGGATTGCATTAAGTAATAATGCTGACTTTACTAATTTTCTGTCCAGCCTTGTTTTTCCCTCATGTGTTATTACACAGCCTTTGATTAAATTATATTAAATTCCTCTTATTTGTTCCCTTTAAGTAGTTGCCAAAAACTCTGCCATGAGTAACTTGCGATACAGTGTTTTCTCTGTTTGGGTGGACACAAGAGCTTTCATCACAATGGAATGCTTATGGAATTACATATTTCAAAGGACACTAACACAAAAATACAACTTCATTCAGAGTCAGGCACAATAATGAATAGTCATGCCAAAATTATTACTAAAAGAATTTGCAATTTGCTTTTTAAAGTATTGACTTTGGTCTTCATTGTCATTATGTATTTTTTTCCCATAAACTTCATGAACTTATATGAATCTCTCTTTCATACTATTAGTGACTATAGTAGTATTGTTTGATGAAAAGAGATATTGTAGACATGATGAATCAGAATTTGAAATCTGACAATATTGTTACCAAGAATATATAAAAAAATATTACAGTTTCCTTAAAATGATCTTATTTCAAAATACATATTTTATTTAATATTTACTGTGTGATATTTATCATTGTCCAATATTTTGGTAAAAATCATTGAACCATTGATTCATTCAACAAACTGAATAAGTGCTTATTGTGGACCAGACTGGACTAAATTCTATAAGTACAAAGGTAATGATATGATCACATTCCTTGAAAAATTCAGTTTAGAGAAACAAATAATTTTGTTAATAGATAGTTATTGCTTTTGTCATTTTTTAATCTCATCTCTTCTGAAATTAAGATTTGATGTGTGTTAAGTAGATACACATGATAAAAGATAAAAAATAGAACGAATGAGGATGGATAAGTGAAATAGGATCAAGACAGAAAAAGAAAATAAGATGAAACTGGGTAGGAGAGCTTTAGATAGACACTGTAAAATCTTGTATTATTTTCAGCAGAAGCATTCCACAGATTTGACCTTGAATTTTTAGTAGCCAGTTCAAAGAGTATGTTTACAAAATTCATGGTGTACTTAAGAGCAGAGCCAAAAGAAAGTACTGATGAGTCAAGCTTTTACTTGTATTGAGATGTAAGAGAAATTTCCCTTATGGATATGTGTGAATGGTAAATGCTATCAGGTCATGGTGCATTTTCAACAACATTCCTAAAATAAGTGCAATATCAAATCTCATGAATATTTTGTATGCTATTTCTCAGTGCAAAACAGCACAGACAAAACTCAAAGTTCTTAAAATGGCCACAGATCTCTAAGGGAAGGAATGTAGCCATAGTTGGCTTGACCACAAATAATTGTGCTCTGTACCATACAGCCTTCCTTCCAAAGAAAACACACACACACACACACACACACACACACACACACACACACACAGTAACCCAAACCTCCCAATTACAAACATTATGGCTACAACTAATTGGTCTCTGGACAGGAGGGGCACCTGACTTTAGAGTAGCTAATGTTTACAAACTGGCTAGTGGCCTACAAGGCCATCTGACAAAAAAGGCTTTGCTCAGAAGGGATGATGGAAGTTGAGAGGAAACAATTGGATGTTTTCTTTTGGAGTGTTTGAAGATAAGAGATGCACAGAGGGAGGCAATTATTTGGAAGTGTGAGTAGGAACCAAAGGGCACAGAGAGAAGAGTCAGGTTGTAAAGGCCAAGAGACAGCTGAGACAATAAATAGGCACAAAGCAAAAAGAAAACACAGGGTAAAGGATGAGGTGATGGTTTCTTCAGGTCAGAAATGGTATCACGAAGCTTCTGCAGCTGAGCTGGGGTTTGAGAGCTGATCACTGAAATGTGGTGGTTTCTGAATGACATGGCTTGACTCTACTGTGATTCTGCTTTTCCTGAAAGACTTGGCTTTGTGATTATTACTTGAGCTTACCTAAGAACATTGCTGATTTTTGTCATTGTTTGAAGAAATGAAGTAAGTGGCTAATTGCACAACCTAAAATGCACTCATATGAGAAATCCTACAAGGGAATAAAAAGTATGGTATAGCCCTAGCTGGTTAGGCTCAGTGGATAGAGTGTCATCCTGCAGACTGAACGGTCCTGGGTTTGATTCCAGTCAAGGGCACATGTTCAGGTTGCGGGCTCGATCCCTAGTGGGGGGCATGCAGGAGGCAGCTGACCAATGATTCTCTCTCATCATTAATGTTTCAATCTCTCTCTCCCTCTCCCTTCCTCTCTGGAAAAAAAAAGTATGGTACAAATATATAGCTTCTCAAGATATGGCGTGATACAAGAAAAAACAAAGTAAATAATATCCTATATAATAAAAGCCTAATATGCAAATCGACCAAATGGAAGAACGATCGACAGAATGACTGGTGGCTGTGGTGTGCACTGACTACTAGGGGGCAGACACTCAACTCAGGAGTTGCCCCCAGCCCGTAGGCCTCAGGCCAGCCAAGGCGGGTGAGAGCGGAGCCCCCCGATCGCCCTGCCAGTCACCCCACAGATTGGCCCTGATCGTAGGCCAGGACTAGGGACCCTACCTGTGCATGAATTTCATGCACCAGGCCTCTAGTATATTACATATATACATATATTTTCAAAGGTAGGATTTCATGTCCTCCAGGAAATCTTCCATAGAAGGTATTACTGTAATTTTTAAACAAACTCATTATGAGAATTAAATGGCAGCATACCTGGAGTTGCACTATGGAAAGAATATGGAGTGCAGGTGTTCCCTGTAGTTGATCAAGGGTCAACCTATATGTTTTGCCTATCAACAGACTGGAGGGTAGAGTTGATGTCCTTTTGTAGAAATTTCTAAAATGTGGGTACTTTTCCTCTGTCTATAGATGAACTGGTCCACAGTTGGTGAACTAGCACAACATTTGCTAATTAAACAAATCACACTTCCAATCTCAAACATACAGGGAAATACAAGTCTGGAAACCCAAAGCTCCATGTCATAAAGCAGAGTGACAATGATGTTTCCCTATAAACATTTTAAAGTATGATGAGCAGTGGTTGTTCCCCATGGCTATAACAAAATGCCCACTATATCCTCATAGAATCTCTGGCCTATTATGGCATTATTAGAAAGAACCAATTGAGATTTTAGGGTTCAGCTGCCCAAAACAATGGTTTTGGTTTTAGTAATAATATAAATATCGGAGTTCATTACATATTGGAGTCTCTCCTAGTCATCACAGTGATCAACATGGGAGAGGCATGAAAGCGTACTGGGAGATCATGTAAGCAACTCATCAGAACTAGAGGGGATTGGCGCATGACATGAACCATGACAAACATGGGCCACATAGGGAATCCATCAGGCTCTGGGCC